AAAAAGCTCTCAGAAAATGTCACATCTATCTTTTTCTGCTACAGTAAAAAGCTCTTAGAAAATGTCACATCTCAGCTCGAATTGAAAACTCGAATCCGCGAAGTGAACGAGGCCTATATGTCATTGGGTGGAGATTTTAATGGCATAGAAGGCTTGGAATGGAACCCAATTTCTAGTCGGGCTGTCGAGGCATTGGAAAAACCTTTTGAAGAGGCAAGAGATCAAAAAAGCAGTTGTTAGCTGTGATGGTAACAAGACCCCGAGCCAGGACGGGTTTACTCTTTCCTTTTTCAAGAATGCTGGCACTTTGCAAAAGGCGTCTTGAAAGTCTTTAAAGAATTTTGGGAACCAAGGATTATTAATAACATCACCAACGAAACGTACATTTGTCTTATTCCCAAAATCATCTCTAGGTTTTGTCGAATAGGCTTAACTTCTTAAGGATGTTCTTGAAGAAACAGTTTCAGAAGTACATGAGGCATTTGTGGCAGGGAGACAGATTCTTGATTTAGTATTGGTGGCAAATGAGGTGGTGGAGAATTACAGGGCCTCAAGAAAAGATGGCGTGGCTGTAAAAATCGACTTTAAGAAAGTCTGTGACCATGTTGAATGGAAGTTCTTAGATTTTGTCTTGGAGAAAAAAGGCTTTGGTACAAAATGGAGAAGATGGATATCGGGCCGCATTGGGTTAGTTTCCTATTCAGTGATGATTAATGGCATGCTGAGAGGTAAATTCTTAGCTTCTAGAGGGCTCGGCAAGGAGACCCGCTATCCCCTTATTTGTTCACTCTTGCGATCGACACGTTGAGTAGATTACCAGACAAGGCCGTTGAAGCTTCTCTTTTCAACCCATTTAGAGTGGGGAGATGACACTTTATTTTTCAGTTCTCCGGAGGAGGAAAGTTTGTCGAATCTATCATCTAATTTGGAGATTTTTTGCTTAATTTCAGGTTTGAAAGTTAATTTGGATAAGAACATTATTTTGGGGATAAGATTGGAGGAAAACAAGTTGTCTAGGCTGGCTAGTATTGCTGGTTGTTCAGTTGGAAGTTTATTTGGATAAGAGCATTATTTTGGGGATAAATTTGGAGGAAAACAAGCTGTCTAGGCTGGCTAGTATTGCTGGTTGTTCAGTTGGAACGTGGCCTGTTAAATATTTGGGATTGCCCGTTAAATATTTGGGATTGCCCTTAGGTGGTGATCCATTGCAAATAGCTTTCTAGGATCCAGTCATTACTAGGGTGGCAAAGAGGTTGGATGGATGGAAGAAAGCATTTTTATCAAGAGGGGAAGACTAACTCTTATCCAGTCTGTTTTGGCTTCACTGCCTATTTACTACATGTTGGTGTTTAGAATCTCCTTTGATGTTGCCGGGATAATTTAATAGCTTATGAGAGATTTCTTTTGGGAGCGTTTCTCGGAGGACAGCTAAACTCATTAGGTTGCTTGGGAGTAGGTTTGCAAACCAAAAGCACTAAGGGGTCTGGGCATCGGTAACATAAAAGAGAGGAATGAGGCTTTGCTTGCCAAATGGCTTTTGAGATTTCCGCTGGAAAGAGATGCTCTATGGAGTACAGTCATTGTAGGGAAATATGGTTTGGCTCCAAATGATTGGGATTTAGGGGCAAAATCGAGGGTGGCATTCAGATGCCCTTAGAATTCAGTCCAATTGGCGGTTGATAGCTTTATCCCATGGGTGAAATGGAAGATTGGGTCGGGTGAGATCATTCGATTTTGGGAGGATTCGTGGAGTGAAGGAGGACCTTTGTGTTTAAGATTTCCCGCTTTATACAGAATTTCCTCGGTCCAAAATCAGCCAACCGCTAATCTTGTTTTGGAACATGGTATTCGAGATGGGAGTGTTGGTTTGTTGGATTTTCTAGGAATTTAACGGATAGAGAAGTGAGGGAGTTTTCGGATGTAATTGCTATAGTGGAGAGGGTTAGACTGCATGATACAATTCAAGATAGAAGGGATTGGGTGCCTGATCACAATGGTGTTTTTTCAGTTAAATCTTTATTCTCCTCGTTGACAGGTGACATTTCGGGTGCGTTTGGAGTTAATTTTTGCTTGTTTTTGAAAACATTTCTGCACGTCTTTTGAGGCACGAAAATGAAAACGATCTACGAACCATGTTTGTTTAGTAAATGTTTTGAAAACAAAAAATAGTGAGAATGTTTTGAAGGAATTAGAAAACGGTTGAAAGTTGTTTTCCCTTTTTTGTTTTCATTTTCTAGTACTTATCAACAATGTTATAATATATTAATTAATAATTATAATCAAACTGGATTTCATTTTTTTATTATACTCAAAACAATCTCTTAAAAAACCAACCAAACGCAATTTCAGAATCGGTCTCAGAATGATTCTCAAAACAATCTCATTTTTTACTTTTATATTGAAAACAAAATCATTTTAAAAACGTTACCAAACGGGCCCTTCATCTCCGCGGTTCAATTTTGATGATAATATTTGGAAAATTCATGCCCCTAAGAAGGTTCAAGTTTTCCGTTGGCTTGTTGCTCGCAACAAACTAAATACATATGATTTACTGCAGCGACGGAGCCCTTTTATTTCATTATCCCTGCGCTGGTGTTTTTTTTGATCTGAATCCCTGGGCTAGTGTTACTTGTGTAGGGAAGTTGGTTAGACAGCTGACCATATTTTCCTTCATTGCCCTTTTCCCGGAAGATTTGGGCTTTTCTGTTGAGAGAGTTTGGGTTTTACTGGGTCCCGCCAGGAAGCAGTGGTGATATGTTAGTTCTCTCTCTTCTGCCGAGCTTGAATCAAAGAGGGTTGATATTATGGAGGGCTGCAATTTTAGCTATTTTTTTGGGGTATTTGGTTGGAAGGGAATAATAGGATTTTTGAGGATAAAGAAGAAGAGTTTGTTCTATGGGATAAAAGAAAGTACTGGGTTTCGTTGTGGGTATATCTGGATAAAGAATTCTGGAGGCCATTGTTTTCGGATCATTTTAGGAGTTGGGCTCCCTTTTATAGTCCTGTTCTAGATTTCCAGTTCTTGGCCTGATGTTGCTTTGATTGTTTTGTATTTCTGAACTGGTCTTGTGGAGGATAACTCTTCCTCCCTGCTTCCAGTTTTCCTTTATAATTATTATTAATAAATCTTTTTGTTTCTTTTCAGAAAAAAAAAAAAAAAAAATTATTCACAAAGGCTTATTTCCTTGTCACTCGTGTATCAAGATTCAAGATGTTCATTCTATTGTTTTTGGTAGCTCCGTTCTATGAGATCCATGTCCTCTAGATGAGCGCAACTACATCTACTTTCATTGTTTGGACTCAAATGATTTTGGATGTGTTTAGTCTTCATTGTCACTTTGATCCCGTTTAACTGTCATGTTAAGTTTTGGCTAGCGCAAATTCAAATTATAACAACTGGTTTCGTATTTCCATGTTGCATGAAAATAATAAGAAATTTGTTCATTTTCCCCTTTTGAGGAATAGTTAATGGGTGTGTCTATTGACACCCCGTTTTCTACTTTTTACACTCACATTTTTAAACCACTCCCATTCTACTTGTTAGATCCCTCTTAAAATTTCAAAAAAGTCCCTACAACTAAATCACCCCCTTTTCTACTTTTAACATACATTCTTAAACCACCCTGGACAATTTCTATTCCAAAATAGTATAGAAGAACAAGCCAGAAAGAAAAGAAGAGTAATTCTTTATTGCTCCTTATTGATGAATTGATATAGTACAGCTTTAGCAGAGCTTTGAGGGCTTGCAATCCTCCCTTGCTTGGAATATTCACCAAGACTTTCCAAGACATATTCCCAGTTCTTTCCTACCTCTCTTCTTTCTCCTACTACTATTTATTTCCCCTACCCTCTGTAACTAACCACCTAACTAACCAGCAGCCACTTAAAACTAGAAGTAACTAACTCAACCTCGAGAACAACATCCTAGCCAACTCAACTGACTAACAAACACCTTCAATCACACTTCCCTATTTCTTCTAGCAAAAACCTGCCTAATTAAAGGCTTATGCTTATCAGATTGCTCCAAATTTGTTGAGCGTGAGGATAAGTCTGTGTTGGTAGAAAATTTTGCTGAATTCCTTTATTCCATTTTTCTTTATCGAGTTTGCATTTTTTTTTTTTTAATGTTTCTGGTTTGAATGTTTTCGAACAAGTTTTGGGACTTTTTTTTTTCCTTTTTTTTCATATAAACAGAGTTACTGGTTTTGGAACATTTTTTTTCCTCTTCGTTTTGTGGGTTTCTCAATTTTATCTTTTTTTTTATTAAAATATAAGTATACCCCATTTTATTAGATCACATGCTTTGCACATGAGGTATTCTATTAAAAATTTAACGGGAAGGTGTAAATTGCACCTGAATAAAGAGTTTGGTGGTATTTTGCTAAAGTTAAAAGAATGGGGATCAAAGTGTCACTTTCTAAAGAGTTTATGGACCATCTATGCTAATTTCTCTTTTTTTAATGGTGGAGTGTGTAATGAGTAGTTTATTAAAAAACTATTGTCCTTAAAAGTAATTTTATTAATGGGTAATTTAGTAATATTAAAAAGGCTTTCTTGTACGGATACCCTTTGAACTTTTGAAATTTGGCAACTTGGTCCTTATTCTTTTTTCTTGACAATTGACCCCTTCAACTTTTAAATCTTTGCAATTAAGCCCCAAACGAAAACGACGCCTGCTTTTTTGATGATTCTGATCATGTGACGCACATGCGAGCATTTATAGAGGGTAATGAAAGTTATTTCTCATCTTATTTGTTCGGTCTAGGGGGTATCCGTACGAAAAAGTCTATTAAATAAGGCGTGAAAAGTAGGAAATGGGGTGTCAATAGACGCACCCATAGTTAATTAAAAAAAGAACTATTTTTTTTCCTCCATTTATTGATCTCTTGTGTAGCTGCATGATTTTTTTGCTTCTTGTCTTGTTAATCTGATCTGAAGCTTCAATTATTATTGGAGCTACGAAACCTTCCTCACATGTTACTCCATAATGATTTTTGCAGGCCGATCCCTCAGCGTACATGGTTGAAATGGCTAGGATGGAATTGGTGAGTCCATGGATAAGTTTATTTGTGTAGCTTGGTTTATTTGGAATTGTGCGTGCATAAATTAAAGTCTGTTAGTGAGTATTTAATATCAATATTTTAGTTGTCCAAGACCAGAGCTATATGTGTGTGTGTGTGTGTGTGTGTGTGTGCATCCTTGAAAAGGATTTACCTAATTCTCTTGGCGTGTATACTTTTTCTTAGTGCATGGACTCTGGCTACAGTATTTATTTGCACATTCTGTTTCTTGCTAAAATTATTCTGTCCAGACCTTATGATAATAATTTAAACAAGAAAGTTTGGCGTATTTTGCTGTGAAATGATACTGTTGAAGAATTCTATGTGAAATGGCAAAGAAAGGTGGTCGTTGTTTAATTTGAACATGATTGTTGTTTCTATGTGCCTGCGCCCATATGATAGAAGAAAATTTGGTTGGCCTACGACTTTTAGTACACTAACAATCTAAAACACGGGATTCTTTCAATGAGGATACGGTGATTGGGAACTGAGCTTTTGCCTGGATAATTTTAGGGTGACAATTTTTTTTTCCTTTTCACGAGGATAGTTCCTTCAGGATCTAGGCTGTATATTTCTCCGGTATTTTTATTGAAGTTAAACTCGTGTTTTGTCTCTTGTTTTCTTTTGTGTATAATGTTCTTGGCTTTGTGGAGAACAATAAGTTTTTCCATTTAGACTGTTCCTTTGTATATCACTCATTGGTCATTACATTCTGACAATGTGATTCTTGAACAATCACTCATTATTATTTAGACATACTTCAAATTTATTGGTATCAAGTTCTAGGATTCTTTGGTATTGCATTCTAAGGCCAATCTTTTTATTTGTTTAACTTTCTTGTGTATATACTTTGAGTTTTTGTTAGACTTTGAAGATAATGTAGATTTGTCTGTATGTTTTACAGCTACACCATATAAGTAGCTTCGAAGCTGTAGAACTTCTGGAAAAGTTTCTGTCCATGGATCCAGACCCCAGGTATAATTGAAATGTTTTATAGAAAATAAGTCGAAAATTTGTTGCATGAGTTTTTGATCGGTGCGAAAATAACACCTATTTTCTACTCGCAAGTGCACGAGGTCGACAAGTAATAAAGTAGTGAGTGAGTGTCGTGTCCCACGAGGATTGTGTTCCTAAAATCTAGCTAAGTATCGCAACTAGAATAACCCAGTTTTATCTAGACAAGTCCAATCATGAGAATGAGATCAATCAAAACAAAAATAAAATGCTAAACTAATTAGATGAGCAAATTAAACAATGGAAGAAACTTTTGGGATCGAAGGGGGCTCTAATGATAAGGTAGCTAGGGTCTTTGATTTCACCTTGCCTAATTATTCTAATCATTTTTAATGCTATTGATTTCCCTCAAGCCAAACATTAATCATGAATTTCCTAAAATAATCCAACTCCATTTCTCGAGTGCCGAGTCAAATATATGCAAAACCACCTAATTAATATCCCTATTAATTAAGTTAATTGTGCATTCATTAAGTTCTAATTCATTTGTGATTACCTAGCTCATATTCATCTCTTGATTCCAATACTCACTAGGCTGTGTTCAACAAATCCCAACATGTGCAAGTGACTCTCTCAAGCCTAAATTCACATATCTAAATCTTCTAATCAATCTTTCAATTTATTAAAGCATTAAGCAAAGAAGAGCACAAATGTTTGGGCATGAAAAACATCAAATAGCATCAAATATTGATAGCATAATCGTAGCAAGGTTACATCAAGTCCCCTAGCATAAAAATCTAGCAACCCATTAATGTAAACTCAAATATATTCAAGATTAAACAAATATGAAAATACATGATAAATCCGCAAAAATAGAGAAAATACTAGGTCTAAGAACAAGAGAAAGGGAGAGGAAGAAAAATAAAACTCAGTGTAGTGCAGCTTCCAATCTCCAAGAGCTTCCTCCTCAGGTTCTCCAAAAACTAGGGTTTTTTTCTTCTCTGTCTGCTGGCCCCAAAAACTAGGGTTTTTCCTTTGTCTATGTTGTCTCCCAAAACTCTCCACTGCTCTCCGTCTCATCCACTCGGCCCAGCCAAATTCTATATGCCTAGAAAACGGCACCTCAGCACGCCAGAGCCCTCAGACCGCGCGGCCGTGCGCCTGGGTTGGAGGAATAACGCGCGGGTGCGCGCCTGAAGTTGGAGGAACGCGCCTAGCGCGCGGGCGCGGGTGCGCGACTTGACGCGCTAGGGGCCAGGGCGCGGGCGCGCACTGGTTTCCCTGATGTGGGCGCACGGGCGCGTGCTGGAGTCCCTGATGTGGGTGCACGGGCACGCCTCTGCAACGGGCTCCTTTTGACGTTTTTCTTCCAAGTAATCCAATTCTTCTTTGTTTACCTGAATCACTCACAAACATATTAAAACACCCTAAAAACTTGAAGATATTGCAAATTATTCAATTTTAGGATATTAAATAAATGAGTTAAAACTCACTTATCAAATACCCCTAAACTTGAACAATTGCTTGTCCTCAAGCAAAACAAAACAAAGTTAAAGAGAGGAAAGAAAACAGCGAGAAAGGAGAATCAAAAACTATGCATGAGCCAATTTTCGAATTGATAGCCAAGAACATTTATCACAAAGGTTAAAAGTACCAAAGCTCGAAGGAAATGCCTAACACCAAAGTTGTCTAGAATTTCAGCTCCCATGCTAGTAACGATTCAAACAAGATTCCCTCAATGTGAGTGTGTGCACAACCAAGACCACTTCATCAATGATAGCACCCGGATAAATTTATGCAATTAGGCGGTAATGTAATGGTCACTCATAAAGTTCTAGATAATTCCATAAGCTCATCTTTCGTGCCACTCTCCACTAATGTAGGTTGAGGTAAAATTGAGGATCATTAGGGCTTCTTAAGGGTTGTAATGCAAGGCTATGGTGTACGGTAGATGAGATGGGAAATTTTAGGCTTAGGATCACCCTAGGCATGAAGTGCACCCCATGGATCTTGCATGAATGATTGGAAACTCACACAACAACTCCCACTTTACTCAATTCTCTATTTATCATCAATCCCACAACACTTTATTCATGAATAAACTCGAAACATAAAAACAAGAATTTCATAAGAATTTATTTTCTTCTTTTTTGTTTTTTTGCTTTCTTTCTTTCTCTTTTTTTTTTAATTCCCAAACCACAAATGAAATGCTCAACACTTTTAATGATTGTCTCAACAATTATATCTTCAAATTCATGCAATGATGCAAACATGCCCATAAATGATAGGTTAAGTGAAGGAGATTCATAAAATGGCTAGGTTAATTTATGTGGGTAATGAAAGAAACGGGGTCACATAGGCTCAATAGGGGAGACTAGTGGTAAGTTTTCCATAGGTTAGCTATTTAAGGCTCAAACGATCCAAGAAAATGCCTAAATCATTTCTCCAACAACACCCCAACCTAGGATTTCGCCTCGAGTAGCACTAGGATGAGTTCTAGAACTCCTTTTTCAAATGCAAGAGCCTCCTAAGTCACATAAATATTCTCGAAATGCTCAAAAGACTAGGTGATCAAGGTTTATCGTGGTAAAAGATGCAGGAAATCAAGAGAGAATTGCAACCAACAAGGGAGTCAAGCACACAGACAATCGATGCTAAAAAAATTTCCAAAGACCTAAGGACACTTCTTAACACAATTCTATCATTGAATTCTTTGGCTAACAAAAAAAATACGAGGCAAATTAATTTTTTTTTTTTTTTTTTTTTTTTAACATGTTCATCCCCCCAAACTTGTGTACAATATTGTCCTCAATGTTGGAACGAATAAAAGCACAAGGACATATACCTCGGGGATGAAGTTACACCCCCTCATTGTCATCACTCCCCTCTTGAGTTTCTGGTGGTGGTAGTTGAGGGTAGTAGGGTCGGAGGAGATAGTCGGGATAGGCGGGGCGCATTGCGGTGGATGAGTTGGCAGGACCTTGAGAAGCCAAATAATGATGGAACTGCTGCTCATAACGGCTTCTCATGATGTCACGGTGTTGCATATCCTTAACTCGATCTAGGACCTCATATATGACGTGGTCCTGTTGATTGAGTTTGGCCTGCAGTTCCGTTAGATTTTTGCCTTGCTGGACCGTCATCCTATAAACATCCTGGATAGAGGGAATGTGATGGGTCATATCTGGTGCGGATGATGGGCCAGCTTCTTCGCGGTGAGTGCGGGTGCGGGATGGTTGGCGATGGCGGTTCTCCTCACGTATCTGTTCACGCTCCTGTAGAGCACTTGTTTGTTGGGCTGAGACTCCTTGAATCCGATTCCTTCCTCCCAAAACGCGAAGTTGCGAGAGTAGGGTGGGAGGTCGGGGTGCATCATTGTTGTCGTAGAGTTCAAAACCCAAGCCTGATTCGATGTGCATGCCCCCAGGCCATTTAACAAATTTATCGATTGAAGATTTATCAATTAACGCACCACATGGTCTCAATGGCTCGGTTAGATCAATTGGCACAGCAGCATTTCGACATAGCCCAGTGATAAGACATGGATGGGTATGAGCACCCGTCGCTCTCACCTCGAGGGACTTCACCAAATCATCCCGAATAACCACACTAATATCGATGCTCCAGCCTTTGCAAATTGCAAACAGCAAGGTAGCTCGGTTTGTATACACTTGGTGCTCGTGGTTGGTGGGCATAATGGAGGCGCAAATGAATTTATTCCATGCCTTGGCGTAAATGTTCAGGCAATTTTCGGGAAAGTAGTGCGCCACATCACTGTCATCTTCCTTTGTGGCCCATTCGGTACCTGGAATACACATCTCTCTGACAATGGGGTCATAATCCCCTCCTGTAAGGAACGCAGCGTATTCATCATCTTCAACTGTCCCTATGTCGTAGTACCTGTTTATTACTTCCGGGGCGAAGGATACCATCTTTCCCTGCACACAAACTTCATCGTTGTCTCGTTGACAGTACCCGTTGGCATAGAATTCTCGCACAACTGTTTCAACTGCTGGGTTTTGCATGTCGGTGAGGTTTTGCCAGTTTCGTTGTACGATGTTGTTTGCAATGTCGCCCTCTGTCGAATTCTGGAGGCCTTAAACCCCTCTCCACTCTTATTGACTTGTTTTTCTCTATGAATTTCCAGAATTTGGCTTTTGCCGCCTCATTCACAAATTTTCCATCAATAAGACGGAGGCCAGATGAGCCAGAAGACGATGCTTTTCCTTTCCCACGCTTTTGAGGCATGATTGTTCAGTTGTAGTTGGCTTGGCAAATTATCGAACACTTGGCGGGCACCCTGTTGATTCACTTAGACAATTCTACAAACCCTTGGCGTGCAACCACAGATTGTCAACTATTATCTAAATGAATCCAACCACTAGTTCCCAAATGCAATTAAAGTGATGCTCCACAACAAACCAAAATTTAAGTTCAAGCAACTCCCAATTACTGCACACCCCAAACAGGGATTTCCCACGTTGAAAAACCAAGTCCCACACACAACAGTCTCTTAGGCTTTTTATCGAACATGTAAGGTGCATAAACTGAAATTTATAAGCCTAATTCTCAAATTTCATCAACACTCCCCAAGAATGCTACCAACTTGCATCAAGAAAAATGCGTACCTTGGTCGGATTTTGTTGGAGCCTTAGAACTGCCGAATGTGGCACAATGGTGTCCGAAGGTGTGGTTGGAAGATGGGAGGGGTGGTGGTGGTTGGAGAGAGATGAGGGAGGGTGAGAGACGAGGGGAAGAGATGGAGAAGGAGAGATGAGGTAGGGGAATGGAGAGAATAACCCCTCTGTTCATGTTTTTTTTTTTTTCACGTGCACGCGCGGGCGCGCGCCTGGAGTTGCGTGGGCGCGCGCCTGCTCCTGGACTTTCAGCATAGCGCGGTCGCACCCAGCATAGCGCGGTCGCACGGGCGCGCGTCTGGAATCGCGCGGGCGCGCGACTGCTCTTGGACTTTCAGCAAACTGCACGGCCGCGCGTCTGGAATCGTGCGGGCGCGCGCCTAC